TAAAATTACTCAGACCTCCAGACAGCTCCACCCCACTGGTTTAACAGGCAGGTCAGAAATGAGAACTCACATGAAGGAAGCTGTTGGGGAGAGCTGCCTCGCAGCCTCACAGCACACCTGCTAGGAGCTGCATGTGAACCCTCTTTCCCCGCCTCTCCTCCCCACCACCGCCCCTGCCCAGCCAGAAGACTTATGGGTTAACCTTCCCTCCTGGCAGGGAAGAGAAAGCCTCAAACCCCATCTCAGAACTCTCTTTGAACCCTAACCTTTACCCACGATTTTCACACCACCACTTGGGTCCAGGAATTGACTGCCTCCTATAAGTTGACAAAGTCTTAGAACTATGGTAAACCAGCCAAGACAGAAGCCGGTGGACTATGTTCCCAACCTCAGGCTTCTGCAAACCCTCCTTCCCTGAGTCCTCAGGGCCCGAATTCCAGGTAGAAAGGGGCTCTACTTTATAATGCACCCACAGTTCTATCACCCCCAACACTGTGTTATACACAGTGTCCCTCACAGAAGTAATTGCTTGTCTTCAAATACTCTTAAACCTCCTATGGTGACGCCAGAAGGAAAGGGGCTGGGTGGCAAGCCAGGGTGAAGCTGCCTTGTAACTTGGAAATCAGCAGCTGGCGTACCTTTGTCCCCCCCAGAGATGTGTCTACTAAACAAACCCCCGGAGACATTTTGCCCCAGCTTCCTGGAGAGCAGGCACTGCGTGCACTGACTGTGTGGGCTCCGCCCAATGTTCCCATCCTCCGAACTCTGACCGCGGTGAGAGACTGTTCTCTTGGGACTCAGCACACCAAAGCCCCACCAGGAAGGAGCCAGAAAGCCCTGCAGTGGGTTCAAACAGAGGAAACCAAGCCCCACATGGAGACAGTGTACTGATCGCAGGTGGCGGATGTCAACCAGTGACCTCAAGTCCTGAATTGTAAACCCAACTCTACCTGTTTTTAAAAACTCATCAGCTTTACTCTGCCTCAGAGGAAAACTGTACCATCATCTGATGGTATTGTCATGGAGAACATGCAAAGTTAAGTGCCCAGTATTCTAAGACACACTAGAACTATGACCAAAAAGAAGCACTTTCTCAAAACCATCAAAATTCTGTCAGTCCTGTCCTAAGTGACCTAGCTTTCCCT